TCTGCCTGAATGACTGAGCGCGTCCTCCATCCCAAAAAAATTCCTCATATCTTTTCAATGTTTAGGGGTAACGTACTCCCTCACGACTGGTGTCAGTGCTATAAAGTAAAGCTTCAGTTTTTCCCCGCGTCGTTTATCCCAGCGTTTACCTCTCACGCCACTAGCTCCGCCCTTGCACCATAGCTCGTGACCGGAAGAGAAGATGAGTCGTTTTGAGGGGGAGGGGAGGGTAACGTTTTGATTAAAGATTACAAGGACACATGAATTAAAAAAAAATTATGACGTGCACGGATAAATTATTTATAATAAACACTACAGTATTCCATTAAAAAATACGAATTTTCAATTTTGATTTCATGGTGACTTTAAATTAGAATTGAATTAAATAAGAAAGGATAAGTGTCAGTGACCCGGTAAAAATACTAACATTTGTTTCCTGGGGATTAATTTTACTTGCGCAAAAAGCAGCAAACAACAGAACATGAGGATTCACATGGTCATCATATCACATCACTCACCTGCAGCGCTTCTGCGAGCGGAGAAAAACATAATAAAGCTAGGCTATATATATATAGATATATACATGAATAAATAGGCCTGTATGAGAAACATATTTTTACTTAAATGATAAATTAAGAAAATGTAAGAAAAACAAGTAGCGTAGTATGCAGAGTTTCAGTTCATTTTTGTGCTGCGCGAAAGGAAACCAGACGGCAGAAAGCGGCATCTTATTTTTCTTTAGGCTTATTTTACAAAAGCTCAAAGATTTGTTTTTATTGCGAATGTACACAAATAAAGGCAAACCTTTTACAATTCCAATTATCTTTAAGACTAAAAGGAGTAGTTTCTTCCACTGTTAGAAGGAAAAAATTCAAGTGATTGCGCCGGCGCCGCGTGCGCTCACACAGTTAAGCTTTGCTACCTTGACAATGCAGCCTGTTCATTATCATAATAAAATACAGTCAAAAAAACTATGTAGTAAAAAAAATATGTAGAAAAAATACTTATTTTTTCTTTTTTTTTGGAATGAAATTATAGAAATTAATACTTTTATTTATCAAGGATGCTTTAAATTCATCAAGAGTGATGATAAAGACATTTATAATGTTACAAAATATTTATATTTCAGATAAATACTGCTCTTCTGAACTTTCTATTCATCAAAGGAATCTGAAAAAATTCTACTCAGCTGTTTTCAACATAATAATAAATGATTTTTGAGCAGCAAATCTGAATATTAGAATGATTTCTGAAGGATCACGTGACTGGAGTAATGATGCTAAAAATATAGCTTTGAAATCACAGGAATAAATTACATTTTTAAATATTTTCAAGTAGAAAACAGTTATTTTAAATAGTAAAAATATTTCAAAATGTAACTGTTTTTGCTGTATTTTGGATCAAATAAATGCAGGCTTGGTGAGCAGAAGAGAATTCTTTAAAAACATAAAAAATCTTACTGTTCAAAAACTTTTGACTGGTAGTGTATGTTAGCCTAGTTTGAAGTTAAAGATATTAATATTAATTAGGTGAGTCTGAGACGATTATTTGACAGTGATTTCACATTTCTTTTTTGTATGAAGGCTAAATACAAATAAAAGGTGAACATTAATTTATTTGTGCTGTTTTTTTTTTCTAAAATATAATATGGTTTTATATGAGGTGTCATAGACTTGGCAAATTAATTTTTCATAAGTTTGTATGCACAGACATCTGTTGTGGACGTTCTTGGCAGTTTTTACGAGGCTTTTTTTAATAGTGTTCATTTCGATATCGGAATTATATGTTATCGACCGAAATTAAGAAATATATCATGATATAAATTTTGCCCATATCGTCCAGCCCTAGGTCTGTGTATGATTAACTGTTTAAAGTTATTATTATTATTTTAATTTTTTTACTTTGCACACACAGCACATGCAAATGGCTCTTTTTGTTTTTCAGCATGCAAAATGTGCATCAGATGGCATGTTAATTGAACTATCCTGATGTGTCGCACTTGTCATTAGAGCGTTTTTCTCCACTGGAATTTTGCATCGCAGCATTGTCAGTTTTGATCGTGTATACAATGTGATTTTTTTGTGTGTGTGATTAAATCACACCGAGTTTTTCCATCACCGTGTCACAATGACAGTGAGGAAACGCCTGTCGACAGGTAGATTTCTCTGATAAAAAACAAATGTCAAAACATAATATAGTAGCATTAAATCATGTGGCTGTTGAAAGCAATTGACAGCATTTTGTTTATTCGCATCTCTAAGACCCCCTGGAATTCTTCACTTAGTTAACACTCCCATACACAGTGTCAGAATCGTCGGTTTGTAAGCTAGTTGCAGTAATGCCCGCTTATTGAGCTTTGACTCCTGTCATTAGATTGCATTAGCTGAAGTGTCATAGAGCGCTCGAGGGACAGCCCTGCTCCATCTTCTGCTCTGTATGCAGACAGAGGCCGCTGTCGATCCATTCACCCCCTCCTTACTTTTTTAATTAAGAAAATTGATTGTCCTGTCCTTTTCAAAAAGCATATTATACTTTATTAAGTAAGTTCTTGAGTAGGCACAATAACAGAAGAGGAGCAGTTTAATATAGGAAAGGAAAAGGAGGTGGGGGTGGATAGTGAACTAGTGATTTGAATTGACTGGTACAGGAACGCAGCAAATGCCTGGGAGCTATAAAAGCTGATTATTTGGTTTCTGATGGCGGCCTGGAATGGTAATGTCTCACCGCTTCCCCTGCAAGTTTTAATGTAATTGTGCACCATATCAGGTATTAAAAACTTTTCTTGTCCTCCCACTCCATTCCTTTTTTTTATGTTGGTTAAAATGTTCCTTAGTATTCGATCCTGATAGCAGGGCTGTACCTTTATTCTCAGAAATTGAGAGACAGTAAAAGGAAAATGTGAATTGGAAAGTGTGTTTATTCAGTAAATCAATAGCTTTCTAAATAAGTTCTGTAGCCTAATATGCTATACAAATTTTAAATGAAGTTAATTTGACCCGCAGTTTATTAAACAGTAGCAGGGATGAAATCGTTTAGATTTAAACTGACTTTAATTGTGAACTGATTTGACTGAATCGTTGAGAATTGCTCACAAATCTGTTATTTCAATGGCTTGTGGGCGTGTTTACTCACCAGCTTTACACAAGAGTAATATCCAGCAGATGAAACATTTTGGAGCACAGCATAAATAAAAACGTGTATATTAATGATGGATGTGAATTGCATATTTTATAATTCTGGTTCTGATTTTTCTCATTTAATGATTCTTTTAGTACTTTTTGAGGAAGAATATTTGGGTGTAAAGAAAGGTAATTTATATTACTTCCCTCATTAGTCAAATGATGAGATCATGTAAGATTTCAACAGAACAAATATATAACTGTTTGCACAGACTTTTTAATGACATTTCATGGACTTATTATAGGTAGCAAAAAAGAAATCCAATAATTGCCTTAAATATATTTAACAAAATACAAATACAAAATGTTAAAATGTATTTCAGTTAAAAATGAAATGTTATTTGTATATTTAAAATATCATAAATGTATGTATTTATTGTTTATTCAATTAATTCAGTCTGTGGTGCTCTCTGTTCTCATGCTAAAGCACTTTATTATCATTATTATTATCATCGTCATTTATATATCTATGACGTTTGGTAGCCTGGAAAACCCATTTTAAAAAATTCCTTTATTTCTAAGTTTTCCATGACATTGGGACCTGTTTGCAATGCATAAAAACACATGTACGAGATCAACAAATGAGTAATCTTGCTGTGTGGTGTGGTAATTAGCATTTCGTTTATTTGTCACTCTCATCAACACGTTTCAGATCAGTTACCGCACTGTGGTCTGAATGTAGTGTTATATCGTTGATTGAGTTTCTTGATATGATAAAATAATGATGTGCAGTTTTGGATGTATTATTATGACAGATTAAGAATGTAGGCTTTCAAGAACCGGCATCAGCCATTAGTTACATCTTTTCTACCGTCGTCAGTCACACTCGCTACAGACACCACTGATGCTTGAATACATTTCTATAAAACGCAATCTCTTTTAGGGAGTAGTAATATGACACAGACAGGTGCGTTTCTCATCAATATCAATTTTAAACGGATAGCACACCCGCTGTAGTGTGTTTAGATGCTGTGAAGCCTCAGAAATCGCAGTGTGGATGGTGAGAGCGTTAGAGATGCTGTCAATGATATGACAGGGTGTGGTTATATTTGTGATTAAATTTTCAAGGCTTTTATTAACTTCGCTCTGGTTAAGGTGTGGCCCCTCTGCAAAGCATGAATTGCTTTATTTAATATCCATTTGCATCACAGACTAAATGAGGAAATTGCTCTCGACGGTCTGTCAAAATAAGACAGGCCCCTGTTTTGTTAAATCATGAGAAACTGTAATTGCCCTAAATTGAAACTGGCCAACACGCACACCATCTTGCAAATGCTAAATGATGTTGAACTTAGCACAGTGCTAAACCGTTCATAGAAATTCACTTTTGATAGCAGGAGTTCGGGCCAAAGGAAAGTCTAGTTAATAGTGCGATTTGCCTGCTATGAACAAACACGCATGACCTCATTGAGTTCTGATGAAAATTTTTCGCTATGAATCACTTTATAAATTCCACATTTTTTTCTCTCGCTCTCCCTATCATCTTTGATTTTGCTAACTGATTAAAATGTGTGTCCCTAAGCCACATCAGTGACATAAGTGCACAGATTTTATTCATTAAAACATCATCAACAAAGGCCGGCGCCGACATAGTCACTGATATTAGTACCTCATTGCTGTTTATGGATTGAGCTGGAACAGCAGAACCGTTTCTAGGGCATTCTCTCTCTGATTTTCAAAAATCAAAGAAAGCTGAGAAGCTTTTATAGAGAGCAGAACAGGCGCCATTGACTCCGAAATAGTTTTTAGCATGTGAGCAGTCGGAACCACACATCGAGCGAGTTACTTCTAACATTGCTCTTCTCTTTTTTTGGGTTCCAGATATGGTGCGGAAAAAGAATCCCCCTTTGAGAAGCTTCGGCGGTGAAGAAGAGGAGGGTGAGGTGGTGGCGGCCGAGGCCACGGGCCCAGAGAGCGGGAACGCGGGGAGCCAGGCCTCAGAGCCCGACCGTGCTGTGGCCGAAGAACAGGAGGAACCGTCCTCCCCTGGCCCCATCAAACCAGACAGGCCTGACTTTCATTACTCCAGCCACAACCTGGCAGCATCCTACTCCAGCCGCGAGGGCACTGATACTGAACCGCTGGACTCTACCACCTCCCCAACGAACTCTGATCCAGGTGATAGAGGAGACTGTGAGGACGACCGGAACGGTCTAAAACCCAGCACCCGGTCAGGAGGTGTCATCGTACAGGGCTGCACCAGTAACGGAGAGGAGAGGGACGCCACACACAGCCCGCTAGCATTGCTGGGCTCTGACAGCCCTCGTGGTGCGGCTGTCGAAGGCTCTAAAGTTCCTCCTGTTACACTTCATCCACAGAGGCCCATTGGGGGAGCGGAGGACGCCCCTAGCCCTCTGGGAGCTGAGACGGGAGCACCTCCACCCACCTCACCCAAACTACAAGACTTTAAGTGCAACATTTGTGGGTACGGTTATTACGGCAACGACCCCACGGACCTGATCAAACACTTTCGTAAGTACCATTTGGGTCTGCACAACCGGACGCGACAGGACGCGGAGCTGGACAATAAGATTCTGGCACTACATAACATGGTGCAGTTCACAGCCCAAACACAGGCCAAAGACTCAGCGCGCCTCCTTGTTCAATCAGCTCAGAGCGGCTCTGCGGCGGAAGCAGGGTCACCCAGATCCTCCGTACTTAACGGCACCTACGACGTACAGGTAATCACAAAGCAGATGAAAGGAGAGAAATGTTGTTTCTAGATACAGTATACATATTAATTCAATCCAATAATAAATAATAAAAGTACGGTAACACTTTAATATAGGGACCTGTTCTCACTATTAACTAGTTGCTTATTAGCATGCCTATTATTAACATATTGGCTGTTCATTAGTACTTATAAAGCACATATTTTGCATGACCATATTCTGCATCCCTAATCCTACTACCCAAAACCTAAACTTAACAACTACCTTACTAACTATTAATATGCAGCAAATTAGGAGTTTATCGAGGCAAAAGTTGTAGTTAATGGGTTGTTAATAGCGAGAATTGGAAAATAAAGTGTGAATAAAATAAAGTGTGACCAAAAATACTAATAAGTTGTAAAAAATACATTAAAAAATTGTTAACTAAAAAACCCTAAAATATTATCGTTTTTTTTTTTTTTACTGAAAATAAACTGAGCTACTGTTCAAAAGTTTGGGATCCGATTTTTGTTCCGTTTGGCAAGGTGAGTATAAACATTTTTAATGTTTACAAATTTCAAATAAATGCTGTTCTTTTCAGCTTTCTATTCTTAAAAAATCTTGAAAGCACAGTTTCCACAAAAATATTAAGCAGCACAAATAAAAGAAATGTTTCTTGAGCACTAAATCAACATATTAGAATGATTTCTAAAGGATCATGTGACACTGAAGAGTGGAGTAATAGTTGCCGAAAATTCAGCATTGCCGTCACAGGAATAAATTACATTTTAAAACAGAAAAAGTATTATAAAAATTTTCCATATTTTAAAATATGAATGTTTTACTATATTTTTGATGAAGTAAATGTAGCCTTGGTAAGAATAAGATACTTTTTTCAAAAACATTAAAAACACTTACCAGCCCCAAACTTTTGAACGGTAGTGTACGTGCTATGTCTATTTATGCATATTAGAGTTTTGCTTCATTCCTCTCATCACCTGTATTGAAATCAAGTTAATCTCCTTTCTACTTTGCCTGTGAAATTAAATTTAATGATACATGGACTTGCTTCATATGTAGAGTGTTCCAAATCAGTGACTTATGAAGGCTCGTTTCAGTTAAGATGCTGCCTTGGAAGGCAGCTGCCTATGTAGGAAGCAAGATGGCCTTATAGTTTTGGAGCAGTGCTGTAGTCAGACCCATGGGTCATTAAGGCTTAAAAATGATGCATGCACATGCAGCTGTGAAACTTAAAATTTATGTCACTGAAGTAAAACCACTAGACGGATGGACATGATGCATGCAAAGTCATGTACACGAAGAAACTCGCACACTGATGAACATTGGCTGGATTCATTTTTAAATTTTGACTAGCCCTCATACAGTCTGTATTTGTTCATGCATGTGTTATAAAATAATGTCATGAATAAGCAATCAAGCTACTCCATTCAAATTTAAATGCAGGCATCATTCGTCATATCACCTTAGTGATTTCTGATTTATAAAAACAAACCAAAAAATGTGAAGGAGATTAGTCTGGATCATGCTGGCACACTGCATTTGGCTTTGTTCTGTGACTTTGGCTGATTTATCGTCGCACTAGCCTCAGTGTATCATGTTTAAATGGACCATTATGAGCAGTTGCCTGCTTTGCACATGTGCATGTACTCAATCAAGCAAGCACACAGCGCAGCTTAGAGTACCTGATGTTTTTTTTCTTCTAATAACACCAGCCACGATCTTTTTCAGTTCAACATCAGCCTGTCTACAAATTGTCGTAATACCGTATAAATTCTTAGGAAAAAAGTTTGAATAATGAGTCTATTCAGAATTCATTCCTAGTGGAATTTTCCATGCAGTAATATCGACGACTGCGATTTTCTTATTTTCCCAATGAAAAAAGGGGGGAAAAAGAGCGTAGGTAAGCAGGTGAGGGGAGCCATTGAAAACACAGGAGTCGATTTATTTTAAACGATGGGTAATGAACAGATGTCATAGTCATTTATCTGCCTAACTTTCACCATGGTTTCACTCTTCACTTCAACAATGTCATGTTTACAATTTAAGCGGCATATTTAAGTTTGGTTTCTGCGAAGTGAGCCAAGTTTGGAAGCGTTTAGCTTTAGTCAGTGCAAGGGTGATTTTGCCCGGTTTACCAGCCAGATGTAATGATTTGAATTATTACTAGATCACTGATGTAACTTGTGCTCACTTGTGTTCTTTGTTTAGTAATAGGAATATTCAAAATAATAATATAATAACATGCATTTTATTTATTATACATTTAGCATTTATATTGTATTATAGTTATTATCTATTTAATATTATGGAATAGTTATTTATTAATATTTATATTGGTAACTTGAGTTCAGTACAGCCAATATGCTTAAATATACATGGCACACATATTTTGGTCAACATAGTGAGTTTTTATTTTTATTTTTGTATTTATTTAAAAAAAATTTTTTTTACATTAAATTATTAATATTATTATATGATTTACTATAACTTAATATATTTAATGATTAACAATAAATAATAACTGTACGTAATTTGATGCACATCGCATTTATTTTGCCAAGTGACCTTAGATGCGATGTTCAGTTGTTATGGAGGATATTTGTTTTTCTCTTTCTTTCTTGCTTGCTTTCTTTTAACCATAACATTAAAAAATATATATATATTTCTTAAGAAAAGGTTTATGTTGTCTGTGTCACAAGTGCACTTTTCTTAAATGCAATTCCTCAGACAGGTGATACAGAGCAATCATCTGAGACTTCAGTTTAGTCCACTTTCTATCTCTAATATGCTTGTGTCAAGTCAAGTCACCTTTATTTATATAGTGCTTTTAACAATACAGATTGTGACAAAGCAACTGAACAGCATTAATTAGGAAAATAGTGTCAATAATGCAAAATGACAATAGTAAACACTCATTTTTCAGTTAAAGACAGTTCATCATTGAATTCAGTGATGTCAACATCCAGCTCAATTTAAATAATATCTTTGCAATCATGTCAACGATATCGCTGGAAATGAAGTGTCCCCAACTAAGCAAGCCAGAGGCGACAGCGGCAAGGAACCAAAACTCCATCTTGTGTAAGAATTATAATCAAGCACATATTACACTAAGCAGTGGGTGTTTATTTAATCATTGCTTCAACATACAGCTCAGGGGCTGCTCAGGGGAAAGGGCCTGTCTGTGCTGTGACATTCCTTGAGTGTTTTGTCTGGAGCATGACGTTGAATTCCCCACAGTGCGTATGTAGCTCAAGACCTCCCACTCACACTCTTTTGGCTCTATAACTGCCAGCTAAATATTCCATATGCTTTCTATAGGCCAGACATCTATTGCATCTTAAGCCATAGATCTGCATGTCTATATTTTAATATACATGCAATTAAGAAATATTTTTGTTAGTTATGTTTTACTTTTCTTTCTTTTTAAATCCAGAATTTAATTTCAAAGTATAAGAACTAAAGTTACACCTGGATAATAATAATCAGAGAAGATAGGCTCCGCTTTTGCATCACTACCAACGGGCTCACAGCATTCACAAGTGCACCATCAAACATTGCCCCTTCTGTCCCCGTGGGCTCTGCACTCCTGAGAAGCACCTGGGGGAGATTTCCTATCCCTTCGCTTGTCGTAAGAGCTCCTGCTCGCACTGTGCTCTACTTCTGCTGCAGCTAACAGCCGGAGGGACCACTACCCCATCCCCGCCAGCTCCCCGAGCGTCCGTCACCCATCAGTGTGACCAGTGCCCGTTCACCTCGACTGATATTGACTTGCTTCTCTTGCACTATGACAGCACCCACACCTCGCACACCTTACTGGAAGTCAAACCAGAGGAGGAGGGATCAGGGGATGCAGGGCCAGGGACAGGACGGGACCATCCTGGAGAGTACGCCTGCACTAAGTGCCATTTCTTCACTGAAGTGGAGGAGGACATCTTTCGTCACTACAGGTAAAATCGCATAAGAAATCACCTTATTTTTTAGAGCATCTTTACTAAATTTATTGCTAACATTTTTAAAACTATATGTAATATGTGACTCATCCTGCATCGCTTGTGCTACAAACATGAATGATACCTCAATTTATGTGGCTTGTTGAGGAGCGGTAGACTTCAATTTATGGAGGGACCTGAACCATATCTAGAGGTCTTAAGGTTGGGGTGTGTATTTATAAAAAAAAAAAAGTAAGTTAATATTTTGCACTGGATTAACTCGTGCATTACTTTAACTCATAATATTAAACATTATATTGGACCTTTTAAAATATTTTTGTTTAGCTTTCAGTTATTTAATATTTTGATATTTTAGTTAAATTTAATATATTGTAGCAAATGACCACTGGACAGAGTGAACTGTTAAACCGTTTTACTTTGGCAGCTTTGCTTTCACGCTTATACAATCCAATTCATTTTTATCTGTGTACATTTTAATAAATATTATAAAGGTCCAGTATTTGTTTACGTATTTATTTGAGCTAATTTATAATTTTTTTGTTTAATTTGCTTTAGTTTAAAATAAAAAAAAATTATAGAAACTACATAAACTACTAACAATAACAAAAAAATAAATAAAAACTTTAAAATGAAAATGGAAAATATAAAAATAAAAACTGATTCAAAATTGTAATTAAAATATAATAGTATCTCAATGACAATAAAATAGCACTGATATTATAGATATATATATATTTATATTTTCATATTTTTGTAGCAAAAGGCATAGCATTGGACAGTGAAAGCAGCTGTTGATTATAGCCAGCAAGCTTGTGTTACACATTTGTTTCTGTGTTGGCGGTTTTGCTTTCATACTGATAGGTAACAGGTTTTCCCTTTCCCCCCCCTTTTTTTTTTGCACTTTACTTGAAGTCGAACAACACAGCTGAATAAACTGAAAATGCTAAACGTCAGGGAGTAACTTTTCTTACAGCAGTCCCTCATTGGTTTTGATTTGGCTTGTCTTGAGGCCATTTGTGCATGTAAATGTGTGCACTTTAGTGTTTGTTTGCGTGTGTGTGTGTGCGCGTGCATATGTCTGTTAAGTGTGTACATGTGGGAAACTATTATACCTTTACATATTCTTTCTTTCACCAGCTGTGTACTATGTGCGGCGCGCATGAGTATGGCTCTGCTTTACCTTCACATAAGATCTCAATTACTCTCCATTTTCTGCCAGAGTTTACAGGCATGTCTACATGTGCTGGTTTGAATTTATTGATAAAAATGAGTTTACTGCACCACTGAAATCCATATGTCCGCTTGAGTTTGGCACAGTAGAAAGAGAACAGAAAGGCACTTTGCTAAATCTAATATAAGTGTTGTGTAAATACACCAAACCACCTCAATGCCACATATGTTTGATATTATAGTATATTCTGCCATATTATGTGCAAGAACCTCTTCTGAGCAATTTTACTACTGATGTTTACAAAATGAACCCAATAACACAACTTTAATACAAAATCGGCAGCATCTTGCATGTGCAATAGATTTTGCACTTATATGTATTTAAAAGTATTTTATGCTTAATAAAATTCACTTACAAATTCTTTAAATATTTAATATTTTTTATAAGTATTAATTCTGGTACCAATTCCATTTAATGGTTATGGTTCCTAAATTATGATAGTGTTTTAGTGCCATGAAAAAAACCTAAAATGTCATTACATTGAGATTACAGATGTAATATTATGAGAGTAAAGTCATTGAGAATGTAACATCAATGTGATGGAGAACAGTAAACTCAATCAAGTCTGTCTGAATTTTTCTTTGCAATAAATTTAATTTCTTACATATTTTCATAACATTATGACTGTATTCTCAATTTTGTTTTATTTCAATGTGACATTAAAATGCTGCCATGCTAGATTTAATTTAATGATTCTATTTTATTAACAATAATTGGAAATTCTCATTGCATTCATTACTATGAGCAACCTGTTGCAAATGATCAGATCATTTCAGATTTCAGGCAGCAGAACAGTAAAAACATTAGAAATCAATAGTAAAAAATAAGTATGTTTTTTCTAACCAACCTTGTGATTTAGTTGGTTAGTGAGTCATTTTTTGTGCGTCACATCTAAAAAAATATATTTTTATTGCAAAAGTGAAACAGACATATACACACACACACACGTATACATCCTTTTTTCATACAAGTATTGTATATTTTATTATTTTTTCCAATTTGTTTAAATATTTGTTTATATAAATATTTTTAAGTTTTGATTAAGAATCAAATTCTAACCTATTTATATTTCAGTCTACATGCATAAAATAACACGCATACATAGTCATAGTACAAAGACGTCGCACATAACTGCACGACAGACACAGTTTTTCTGCTATTTAAACTTTTTCAGTAATTGCACAGGTTCTCATGTTGTTAAATGATCAACGATCTAATCTGACTTGTCAAAGATCTTGGCGGAGGAATCATTTGTCAAGTTGGCGCTCTTGTCAGGAAACGCTGAATTTTCAGGCCTCATACACCCACCTGTCCCCTAGAGAACATGTGTGAAGGTTTTTATACGTTTGAGTCTTGAGTGACGTCCATCATGATCCAGCTGCCCCTGGGCTGGTTGTTTCAGGTGGACGTGGAGCAGTGTTTTCAGCCTGTGCGTGCGGCCTTTCTGAATAAGGCGCTGTTTGTATTCAGAGCCCACAGCCTGGAACCTGTCGAGGAGAGAGCCGAAATCAGACCTGTATGGCCTCCCTGGAGAGCTCCTGCTTCTCAGCTCAGACCGTCCAGAGTGTGTGTGTGTGATCGAGAATGTGCATGTCATATTTTGTTTTTAAACTACTTTTCCCTCATATATATTTTTTTCTCACCAGGCTTACGGGCAGCATGAGAATATTGTGTACACTTGAAGTACACTAGATTTTAATGTGTGGGCTACTGCATGCATGTTTTCAGCATTGTGTCTTCTATGTTATTGTATGAACATCTGTGTCATGGTATCCGGTTTCATTGTGTGGAATCGTTCGGTGACCTCTGTGTGTGCGTGCGAATGATTGTGTGGTCTGAGGAATCACTGATACATAATATTTCCCGTATGCGTCTCTCCTGAATATCTCGCTATAGTGTAGATTTATGAGCAGAATCCTGCCCTCTAGTCTCCAAACAGCAACCCACCCACCATGAACGTGAACCTGATATTGATGCTGTAGCCTCCCACACCTCGTGCCCACCTGATCCAGTGCACACTCAATATATCATGCTGCCCTCCAGTTCGGGAAAGGGAGACCTTTTACGTGCAGGAGCTGAAATGGCGAGAACACTGTATTGGATTTTGGACATGCTGGTTTTAAACTTTGTGTCAACTCATTGTGGGAGTCACTTAGAAAGGTGAAGTGTGTAATGTCTGCACATCTTTGGATGCATTGCTTGGATAAAAAGTCCCACCCCAAACGTACATTTTTATTGATTGACACTGCAAGTGGTGACAAAGTCACACACTTCACCTTTATAAAATTAGCCGTCTGATAAAGTGATATGCTGAAGTGAATTTTAGCTGAAAACTGAAATTGCATTTTTCATTTAAATTTGGGTAATTAAACTTAGTATGCTGTTTAGGTTATCATGTTCTCAGGTGATAAATTAAACCAGTCATAGTAAAGTCTAAAATCGATATTTCAGCCAAACAAATTTTACATACTGCCACTCTATTGCCACATAATTTTTGGTCACATTGAAGTGCGTTCACACTGCTGACATGTTTATGTGTTGTAGCTTGTTTACATGACATTGTTGAAACAGACAAATTGTGCCATCTGTGAAACACTAATAGACTAAAACCAAAAAGTATATATTTTCCTGCTATTTCAGCATAATATCCATGTTGAGTGTGGAAGGAGACTGATACATTTAAAATCATACAGAAATGCAGTCATAATCCACATTGAAATCAATAGATTAGCTGCGTGAATTTTAGTGTGCAAGTGCCTTTGTTTATTTCTAAGGAGCAACAGTTCTCTGAATGAGTCTTCATGTGTTTATCTCATTTTTTTGTAATGAGGGCTCCTTGTTTCCTTTTTGAGACCGAATGAGCCGATGAGCTCGCACTTTAACCCCCCACTGTGATTTTTCTCCAACCAGTTTTTCTGTCACTCGGTCAGGTAAGTGGCAGGCCACGCTGTACCCATTTTTCCATTTCCTGTGTAATGTCATGGGACGGTGTCGCTAACGCTTCTGCTCTGCTCTGTGTCCTGTAAAATGGCAGTATTGAGTGGGTGTGCTGGTGCATAGCTAAAGGGCCTCATTTTCACAAGCGCAAATGACTAGCACTCAGTACCGTTATTGACATCGATATAGGTTCTCATCCATTTTTTCAGGTTTTCAAGTATTTCTCCACTAAATCGATGATGTTGTTTTGATGCTTTGCAAAATTAAACTGGAAAAAAATAGTTAATCTATAACCTGTGTTTGCTATTAAATTGAAAGCATTAAGGAAATTCTAATGTACTTATGCTCATACAGTTTTGAATGATTACATGATTTTTGCTGGCCGTGCAGGTGAATGCTGACCCTTTATATGATTACTGCTCTGCTTCAGTCTGAGAGGGGTGAAAGACACATTCCTTGCTACTGTTTCTTGTGACCCAGTCAAATGAAGTAGCCTGCTTTTTAGAATTGGGAATCAAGGGAAAAAGTCAGCAAGAAAAGGCAATGTCTTGGCTGATTTAAATCCTTTGAAGTCTTCTCACCATCGCCATGAAGTTATCACCGTCTCTGAAATGCCAGTCTGATGTTGATGAGTTGTGTTACAGGCTCTGTCACTTTCTTTTATGCTTGTAAAGGATTTTTTTGTTTGTTTTAACAACAAATGATTCATCAGATGGTTGCCTTTTTGAATGATCCATTGTATTAATAATGTTGTAAGCTGTCAGAACTATTAATTCAATTCAAGTTTATTTGTATAGCTACGATATACAAATTTACGATACAAATTGTTGCAAAGCAACTTTACAGAAAATTAAGTTTCTACAATATCTAGTAGTAGCTTATCAGTGGTGACTGTCAGTGGTAACACACCTACCAGTGTGACGTAATCAGGTGAAGACTGACATTTCCCACAAAATCTGACCTGACAGCTTAAATTATAAATAATTATTTTAAGCTTGCCGTTGTAAATCTGGGTAAAGCTAGATCATTTGAAATTTTTGTTTGTTTGTTAATTTTTAACCCAAAAAAATTCCACAGTTCGTCTTTAATTTTAATTTTATTTTTTTGTTGAATGGTGTTTGGTTCTGTTGACAACTTTTGAGTGTCAGCTTGAACGTACTCATCTAGTCTGATAGTATTTCTTGCACCACTGCTGTTTTTCAGTAGTGCTACATGTACCTCATTATCAAGCAGATGCAGCTGGGATTAACACTTTATTTTCTTAATAGCCTTAATGTGTTTTTTTTTAACATCACAGGAAATGTGACAACCTGTCAGCGTTTTAATTAAAACTCATTTTGAGGAAACTGTCATAATTACTGTAGTAATGCACTGTACTTGTGATTGACATTAACAGATGTTTACAGAAATCAGGTATACTTATTTAATTATTTACTTAGTGTTTAATGAACTTCAATGAGAGTATTATGTTACATTCACTGTGGTTACACAAGGGGAATTGTTTTTGTTTCTGCTTACTTTTTAAATGAAATCATGTATCTTAACTTTAATCTTAAGTAGAAATGTTTTCATTTAATCATTAAGCAAATTTACAAGCAAAACATAGATAGATCGATAGATAGATAGGTAGGTGGGTAGCTAGATAGATTTACAAACAAAACAGATAGATAGATAGATAGATAGATTTACAAACAAAATAGATAGGTAGGTAGATAGATAGATAGGTAGGTGGGTGGGTAGCTAGATAGATAGATAGATTAGCAGAATAAAAAGAGACATAAACAGATATAAACAATGAAGAGAGAGGTATTATATACAATAGTTTGTGCAAAATACAATTATGTAATTTATATTTTTTAGAAAATAACATTTTCAGTAAAAAAATGGTACTGTCAATGTAAGGTATAAACGTGTACGATTAAGTTCATGAAGGCATTGCATGTTAGAAGAATAAAGTTTCCCATTAACTACACCATTTAAAAACTTCACTGTTAACAAAACTCATGCCAGAAAACAATCAGTTCTGGGTTGCAGGGTTTGACAAACGTATTTATGCTCTGTGTCAGTGACCAAAGAATACGATTTGTTTTGGAAGCAGCCCAAGCTTTGTTGGAAAACAGTTGAGTCTTGGTTGGTGGTGGTGGGGGGAGAGCTAGTTTTGTCTGGTACTGATTAATGATAACTGAATGTATCTGTGTGTCAGTCGCTTATGGTAACTGGTCCTCATAAAACAACTTCACAGAAGTTTATATGGTCTTCAGATGTTCATTTATTTCTAGAAGTGTAGATTTTTTTCTTTAAATGAATTTCACCTAAAATATAGCAAAAGAAATGTGCAGTTATGTTATTTTTTTGGACTTTCCAAAGTAATATTTGTATGTGAGTAGCTAATGTTTTTTGTTGTTGTCTGTAATCAGGGGTACATGCAACGGATCGTACACGTTCTCACACATCACCGGTCGCTGAATGCACCAATGTTTGATCTGCCCCTGCTTTCGTGTACCTAAGAGGAACAAATTACAGAACTGCATGCTGGGAAAGTCAGGCAGCAGCAATGATGAAAAGCACTTTTTCCACACTGTCCCTCGTTTGGTGCCTAGAGGGGCAAAGATGGCATCTAGCTGTTTTGCTCGCTTTCTTGCTCTTTATCCATCCTGGTTCGATACAGTGTCAGATCGTGAGAGGCTGTTTACTGGGTAACAGATCTTAGATTTGATTTATTTATTTATTTTTTTCTGTCTTTTTCACAATAAGGAAAATCTTACACTGAGATTCAGCTTGAAGGATAGGGCTCTAGTGGGCATTTATGATAACACAAGACACAGCTTTCATTTCCCAAAGAAGACAATTTGTGTCGAACTGGGATGGATAAGAAGTGAAAGAAGAAAGAGAGCAAAACAGTTAGCTGCTGATAGATTTATTGCATTTAGTCAGTTTTGTAGAATTCTGGATTTGTGAACATTTAGCTACATTGTCAGTTTTGTATATCCTATTTTATGTGTGACCTGTTGTTTTGCTTACTTTTTTTGAGAAAAAAAATGTAGATTTTTTTTTTTTGGTCAGGATTCTATGATGAATAGAAAGTTTAAAAGAACAACATTTATTTGAAATAGAAATATTTTGCGACATTATAAATGTCTTTACCCTCACTGTCTTTGCTGTTTTTGATCAATCAAAGGTATACCTGCTGAAAAAAATAATTTCTTTCAACAAAGAAAAAAACTTTTGAACCGTTGGTAATATTTCATCCTAGGTGCACAGAATACTCTGAGTTTCAACACTGTCTAAAGTAATTTGTATCTTATTTTATTGGGCTAGTCGTATTTTTATATTTAAGGAATATTACAGGAGCACAATGTGCTTTTATACAGCGGTTCTATAAATAAGAAGTTAATACTAATTAACTTAAAAGGCAGATTTTATAAAGATTTTTTGGAATTTCTCTCTCCCCCCAAAAATAATTCTAAAAGAAGCCAAAGCATCAAGCAGTGCATAACCACTATGTTTTTCCGTTTCCAAATATCATAGTTCTGCTGGACTTAGTAGATAGATAACAGCACTTTTAAAACGCTGCAGTATCAGGAATTCAAACATCATTTGAATTCCTGATACTTGATGAACATGTTAACGTGTTTTTTTTTATTATAGTTATTATTTAATATACAGATGATCTTGGCAAATGATATTTATAACTTAATTTGCACTTGAACATTAAACACGAAGGACTTTTTTTGCTTTCGAAACCTCTCAAATGATATTAATAACTTAATTTGCCCTTGAACATTAAACACCAAGGACTTTTTTTTGCTTTCGAAACCTCTCAATCTGTGTAAATACTTCATTGCGGTACAGTTAGCACTTACAGCCAAACCTATCAATGAATGGCCATTGTCCAAGCACGTCTACTGATGCATGTAAAATAAACACAGTTTTTTGGGTGGGGTACACTCGCCTGTACTACTTTGACTGGTCGATTTCAAACAGGAAGTACAAGCTTATAGAAAATCATTGGTGTTTCTGGAGAGAATGTCACATTCATTTACCTAAAGGTTAGCAGACAGTTCATTTAGCTTTCCTTTGCGGAGAGTTTGGAGCAGCTCTTTGTTTCCTTTATTTGGAACAGAACAAAGATCCATTATGCAGACGAAAATAACTGACTAAACTGTAATTACACAACATTACAGAGATTCAGACCAAGCTCAGGGGGGCAGAGACGTCAGATAAGGAGAAAGTACACATACTCAGGATGTGGATTAGTCTTTTGTCTCTCAGATGGCTCTCTAGGGGCCAAATAGCATGGCAGTATATGAAATGAATGTTTGATCCATGAAGAATGATAAAAATCATGATTGCTGAGACTATCTATTATCCTCTTTGCAGGAGAGTTCACGGCTGCTGTCGTTGTCGGCATTGTAGTTTCACTGCCACGGACACCACGGCGCTGCTGGACCACTTCAACTCCGCCCACTGCCAGGACTCTGCGGATCCAGCCTCTGCTCTTTCCAACGGCTGCTCTGCTCCTTCAACCCTCCGCATCAAAGAGGAGAGCAAAGGTGATCTGAAACTCTATAGCCTGGTGCCTCCAGAGGCCAGCAAAGCCGAGCCGCTTCCCGGCTCAGAAGGCGTGAAGAGTGAGGCCCAGGATGTGAAGGAAAAGGGCTGGGTTGAAGCGCTGGGCCCTGTGACTGGCAGTGGAGTCCGAGGTGGGGAACAACACGTGCAGAGCCTGGTGTGGGTGCCCAAAGAACGTGCAGGGGAGATCCTTAGAGGAAGCCCAGCCCCGTTCCCCCAGGCCACACTGGGTCTGCTGAACGCTGTGGCAGCTGGGGCAAAAGACCAGCAGCAGCAGAAGGGGGCGACCATGCTTAGAGACACATCGGGACTGATCTTCAGCCTTAGCGCAGATGCTAAAAGCTACCTGCCAGGGACGCCGATGAGCGGTGCGGAGAAAGCCGGGCAGCAGTACCCAACTTCTACCGAGGGCAAGAGTGCCAAGGAAGAGTCGCAGTCTCTCTTACGGGTAAGCGATGGTCTATGTCTGTCCACTCTGTCTGGACTTCTGTTTTAAAAAAAATTTTTTTTTATCATCTTTGAAATATATGCATTTCCTTTCCAGTTATTAAGCCACGTGACCGAGCTGAACAATAAGGATTTATTTTTTGTGTTTTACTCACCCTCGAAGCATCCTAGGTGTATATGACTTTCTTCTTTCAGACGAATGCAGTCAGAGTTATATTAAAAATTGTCCTGGCTATTCCAAGCGTTATCATTGCAGTCAGTGGGTTTTGCAGTTGAACAGTCCACAAGTCGTCAAATAAAGCATGCGCATTCATAATAAAATGTGCCTCACATGGCTCCGGGGGGTGAATAAAGGCCTTCTGTAGTGAATCCATGCGTTTTTGTAAGAAAAATATCCATATTTCAAACGTAATAAACATTTTTCTCTCATTTCTGTTATCCGTCATTCCGTCAAGTCGTTCCGGCGTATGACGTATGCGCAGCGCGCGCACCTCAGAGATATGCTAGTCTCACGAGAGGTGCAAAGGAAGCAAAGTTTCCTTACTTTAGCAAAGGAAAACCAGTCTCCTCTTGACTTGACGAAATCCTCCAACATTTTTCTTTGCAAATCCTCGGTTTGTACTTCTAATTCGTGACCGGCATTTTGTTTTGTTGTCTCTCCTCGTTCGTCACTAATCACGCAATGCCGACGTGCTACAACATCCGCCGGCATGGCTTCCGCGTATGACAGTTGGCGGAAGTGATATAAAAGTGTTTATTATGTTTGAAATATGGATATTTTTCTTACAAAAATGCATGGATTCACTAAATAAGGCCTTTATTCATCCTCCGGAGCCGTGTGAAGCACGTTTTATTATGAATGCGCGCGCTTTATTTGACGACTTGTGGACTGTTCAACTGCAACACCTGCTGACTGCAATGATAGAGCTTGGAATAGCAGGACAATTTTTAATATAACTCCGACTGGATTCGTCTGAAAGAAGAAAGTCATATACACCTAGGATGCTTCGAGGCTGAGTAAAACACAAGCCAATTTAAATTTTTGGGTGAACGAACCATTTAATGAATACATGATCAACGATTGTGAGATGTATTGACTGCGTAACACCAAAGACTATAGAATACCCAAGACGTGTCACTCGTATAGGTTTGAATGTGGAAAAATGCAACACTCAATATGGCCGCTCTGTCGAGCGAATCCCCGCCTTCTGAGCCAAAGAGCCAATCCCTAATCGGTAAAGTCAGCGTGTCACTGCAGCTGCCGTTTGAAGTCCCGGTTGCTATAGCAACAGTAAGCATTCTGAGGTGTGCACCTAGGACTGTGCATGCACTCTGGCTGATCTAGCCTGACAAATAAGCTTTTTTTAAAATGCTATTTGAGCAAAATAAACAACATCTATGATACAGTTAGTCAGATTTCATTGGTGATTTCAAATATGAAATTTAATCGTAAGCTTGGCGAACAGTTTTGGAGAATTTGATGTTTCCCCATTCAAAGAGACTTGAGCTGCACTTGCATGCCTGAGACGCGTTTTAAAGATGGCCGCTGAGTGACATGACTCACCTTAAAGGGACTTTGGTAACACTGACCTGTTCTAAAAATCTCTCGCATTGCTATCCTTGAGCCCTGACCTGAGAACATCTTCCAGGGTTTCTCTTAAGATGGAGAAGCAGTGTCCATGACAGTGAAGAGTTATCAATTACTTCTCTGTGACTATCATACTGAGCGGCATGCTGGGGTGGATTTGTGTGTGTGTGTGTCTCTCTGTGTCTGTGAGTGATCATCCTTACTTTGGTTTTAATGAAGTCAGTATGTGCAGAAACCCTCTGCAGCTCAAAAGCCTGGCCAAACTAATTGAGGTAGTTACCCAGAGAGCTGCAGACACAATAACAGAGCCATTGAGGTCCTCAACGCTGAGAGACAAACAAAACAAAAAACTGGAAAATAAACTTTTTTGGGTTGTGGACTAAACACTCAAATCCAATTCAAAGATATAATGGGGAGTACAAGAGCATTTAAACAAACAAGGTAACAAGTAGAGCCCGACCTATATGTTTTTTTTGGGGGCCAATGCCGATACCGATATTGGGGAGTAAAAAAGGCCGATATTGATATATCGGCCGATATTCTTTATGTAGGTTATATTATAGTACAGTTTAGTGAAAAGTTTGGACACACTTCCCATTCGTGTGTCCAAACTTTTGACTGGTACTGTATATAGAATACAGTATATAGCCTACATAAACAGAATATATATACATAAACAAATTTTTTGCAATGATAACTCAAATGTGGTGATCAAATGATATGACAAACATAGGCCTATGTAGTGGAGGCAGGGTATTTAACAATTTAACAATACATTTTTTTAATTCAAAATGAGTCTGACATCAGTGCACTTAACAGTAGGGCTCTATGGTATTGATCGTTTTCATTTTAAAACAAAAACGCACCAGTGTAAATGTAGCCTTACAGCTACGGGGTTTATTTATTCACACTAAATACTCACGTGTGAGCCACATCTCTGAGTGTGGCGCGTGACGCGGACCGACCTATCGGTGTATTAGGCTGTAGTACCTCGAGCAGACTGCTCCGTACGTTTTCGCATCGCTCTCATGGATGTCAAACACTGATCGATCTGCGCCTCACTGACGCTGATGAGATTAACCCCTTAGGTATCGAAATTTGGTACCGAACGACAAGACGTTTTTCGATACTCGATAGTATCGAGGCAATACGGTCGGTGCCTAAAAAGTATCGAACTCGATACCCAGCCCTATTAACAGTAAACTTCACTTATTATAAATAACTTAAAAAACACAAATAGAACTAAATATTTATAACTTGAATTAAGAAATTAAACAAGGTAACTGTGTAGGGCAAGCAAGCTACTGCCAAACCAGCAGGGTCAGGTTTATGCAGGAAGCACAGCTTTTCCAAATGTAAATATCTAAAATGAATAAATAATAATAATGGATAATATTTTTTCATTTTTGTCACTCCAACTAGGTGACAACATAGTGTTAAATCACCATTCAACAGACTCAAGCCACCACCGCACTGCCGTCTATTGGACTGCAAAAAGATACTAACATTTCAGTCTGCTACGTTACTAACTGTACTGACAAACTATGCTGACACCGTGTCTGCGCCGCAACAGAAGGCGACAAAGCGACCGTTGAAAATCATTTGAACTTTGTGTCAGCAAATTCTCGCAAATAGTCGTAATGTGATGTGACCAATGTGATAAGCATGAGTTCTGGGCCGCGGCGTGGCCGGTATAAACACCAGCATTGACTGAGTGGCCGCGATCAACTCTGGTGGCCGTAACACAGGCTTTAATGCGCCGCAGACGCGTGCCGTGATGCGCAGATCAGCTCTAGTCTCTAAAGTCACTGAATCTACTGTTAGAAATTACCCATCCATTCATCATATCATCATGCAAAACTAAGAATTATAATCATTGTAATGTGACAATCAAATATAGGAGCGGGTGGGTGGCGTGTGGATAATTTGAAGCAGTGGACTCGGGTGAAGTTTGAGCTCATCCGCGCATCTCTAC